AGGGCCTGTACTGCGCTGTAATGTTCTATGTTCTATGTTCTATGTTCACCTTTAGGTCTGTTCAGTGCTGTCCCTGGCATGGCCTCCTGAACTGTTCATTGAACCAAATTGATCCCATGGCTTAATGGTAATGGTAGAATAGGGAATATGCCAGCTGTGAAGTTGCAGATTGAGTTTGAGTACAATTCAGCTTCTGCTGATGGCCCACAGCTCCTCTTCGATGCTTGTTCTTGGGTTCCTAGATCTGGATCATAGAGCTCCAGAGAGCTTTTCCAGCGACTTTGTTTTTGTTCCTGATTTACAGCATCTGCAGTTCTTTTGGTTTTTACATTAGAGGGTATTCTCAGTGTGAAGACCAACATTATACTCATAAGAACTATGTAGTGGTACTTATTCTATGAATAACAGAATTATATTTTTAACGTGTTTTGAAATCTTTAAATTTTTATTATATAAAAATTGATTTATTCTTTTTCATGTTCAGTTATTTTGCATAATAAACTTCTGTTTTATTGTTAAAACCAAATCTACAGCCTTATGTGTTTATGTTTCAGCAAGAGACCACTTTGTTAAAAATCTAGGATCTGACCTATCTGGTAAAACCATCAACCAGAATCATAAAACAGGCAATAGCCATCTCCAACAGGAGACTTTCTAACCTCCTTGACTTTCAATGGCATGACCATCATTGAATCTCCAGCCACTAACATTTAAAGGGTGATCGTTGACCAAAAACTTAACCAATCAGCCACAGCATTACCATGTCTACAACAGCAGGTCTGATGCTGGCAATTCTGCAATGAATAACTCATCTCTTGAATGCCCAAATTGTGTCCACCAATTATGAAGAACAAGTCTGGGGTGTTTTTTTTTTCTATTCATTTGTGGGATGTGGGTGTTGTGAGCTGGCCAGCATTTATTGCCCATCCCTAGTTGCCCTTGCGAAGGTGGTGTGGAGCTGCCTTCTTGAACCGCTGCAGTCCTCCTGCTGTGGGTTGACCCACAATGCCGTTAGGGAGGGAATTCCAGGAATTTGACCAGGCGACACTGAAGGAACGATGATATATTTCCAAGTCAGGATGGTGAGTGGCTTGGAGGGGAACTTGAAGGTGATGTTCCCATATGTTAGTTGCCCTTGTCCTTCTAGGTGGAAGTTGTTGTGGGTTTGGAAGATGCTGTCTGAGGATGTTTGGTGAGGCAAGTGGGGAGTATTCCATCACACTCCTGACTTGTGCCTTGTAGATGGTGGACAGGCTTTGAGAAGTCAGGAGGTGAGCTACTTGCCACAGTATTCCTAGCTTCTGGCCTGCTCTTGTAACCACTGTGTTAATGTGGTGAGTCCAGCTGAGTTTCTAGTCAACGATGTTGATAGTGAGGGATTCAGTGATGGTAACACGTTGAATGTCAAGGGGCGGTGGTTAGATTGTCTTTTGTTGGAGATGTTCATTGCCTGGCATTTGTGTGGCGCGAATGTCACTTGCTACTTGTCAGCCCAAGCCTGGATATTGTCTGATCTTGTTGCATTTGAACATGGACTGCTTCAGTGTCTGAGGAATCACAAACGGTGTTGAACGTTGTGCAATCATCGGCAAACATCCCCACTTCTGACCTTATGATGGAGGGAAGGTCATTGATGAAGCAGCTGCAGATGGTTGGGCTGAGGACACTACCCTGAGGAACCAGTCTAATGGAATACTTGCCACATGTCTGGATGAATGCAGCTCTAATCTTAATGCCATTCAGGACAAAACAGCCCACTTGATCAGCATTCCATCCACTACCTTCAACATTCACCCTTTCCTTCAGCTATGCTTGGTAGCAGCAATGTGTACCATCTACAAGATGTATGGCAAAAATTCATTCAGGCTTCTTCTAGACCCATGACCACTACCACCTAGAAGGACAAAGGCAGCAGATACATAGGAATCACCATCTGCAATTTCTCCTCCAAGCCATTCTCTACCCTGATTTGGAAATTTATCGCTGTTTCTTCAGTGTCAGTGGGTTACATTCCTGTAATTCCCTCTGTAACAGCAGTATGTGTCCTTGCATTCCAAAGACTGCAGCAGTTCAGGAAGGCATCTCACCAGCACCTTCCTGAAGACAATTGGAGATAGGTAATAACTGCCAGCCCAACCGGTGAAGTCCACAACCTTAGATTTTTATTTCTAAATTAACTGTTGAATTTTGAGTCTGGATCATGGATGAAACTTCTCTACAGAGACAATCCAGACTGGGACTGGAACTCACTGCATGAAAGGATGATAGAGGCGGGATCCCTCCCAGACATTTTAGAACTATTTAGATGAACCATTGAAACACAGTGGCATACAACATTGTGGGCCATATGCTGGAAAATAGGATTAGAAAGCATGGGTGTTTGATGACTGACATAGACACAATGGGCCAAAGGGCATCTTTCTGTGCTGTAATAGCCCTATGAAACTTCAATATTGTGGACTTGAGAAGTGCTCTTACAGGAGGAGATGGATGTTCCTATGTTTATTCCTTCCACTGTGCAATGTTCTGCAACTAAATGTGTCCTTGCCACTCTGACTTTTCCTCATGGCGACCAACTGTTTTTGCATTCCATCTGGGGGACTGGTACGCCCTGCACTCTACCACAAGGATCGGCCCTCCCTGTACTCTACCCAAAAGACTCCATACCCTGTGCTGTATCCCAGATATTGGATGTGCCCTCACTCTACACGGAGAGCAGCTCTACGGTCTTTTGGGACTATTGCAACTTTACCTTTACCCCAGAGATTGTCTGTTCTCATACTGCACTCTGGGTACTGTCTATCCCCATGCTGTCCCCGAGGCTGGTCCCCCATATTGTCCTACAGCTCCTTGCACCTGTCCTTAGCTGAGATGTTGCAGTATCTAGCTGAGTTTTGGCTGCTCTGTGAATGGCTTGGATGCTTATTTGCAACTGAATGTGGCAAAAAGTCAGGAATGAGATGCCAGAATAGGTGGTGACGGCCTGATTGTTTGCTTTACAAGGTTTACTGAATTTTGAGTCCTCCTTCATTTCATAAAGCTTTTTGAGTTTGCTGATACTGAGTGATTTCTGCCCACACACTCTGAGCGAATGTACTATCTAATTCTGTCTTAGTCTCATCCAAACCTTCTCTTTTTCAGAATCCGATTGTAACACAGTTTTTCCCGACCCTGCTCCTGTGGACATTCTCTGTGCTTCTTCCATTCATTGTGTACTACTCTGCTATCTTTGAATCCCACTGGACTAGGTAATGTATGACATTCACCTTTTGGATGCCCTTCCCTTATGGAAACAGCTCTTTAAATATCTGCCTAAAATGGTCATTTTTCAGCAAGAAGTGAAGTTGAGCTGATTAATTCTAGGATGATAGGAAGCATCTTTTAACACAAGGTATGGAAATTTGGAATGCTCTTCACCAAAATGTTCTGGATGTTGTGCATTGGTTGGAGGTTCCAAAATTGAAATAGATGCGTTTTGGCTGAGTATCAGGTGGGTGGATGAGAGTGATACTGTGAGCTAATTGAATGGCAGAACAGACCAGAGTAACTACATTACTTATCAATATTACATTTAAAGTCACTATCCATGTTTGTAAATCCTGTCTCAGCCTTTACGGTTCTGTGGCTTGCTCACCATTAACTGTGATCCTCCTCCAATTCTTTTCGCGACACTATTTAAGAAACAGTTGTTTGGGCAGGTCAGAGGTGCTCTCCTTAAATCTTTACATTTCAAAGAGTCTGTCAGAAATCCTCTCTTAAAACACTCAGTGCTTCCTCCTACCTAGTGACACAGGAGAAAATCAGAAGAAAGATTTAGGAAACTGAAACCCGACAAGGCCCTTGAGGAATATAAAGGATACAGGAAAGAACTTAAACAAGGAATTAGGAGGGCTAAAAGCAGGCTATGAAATGTCCATGGCAAATAGGATTAAGGAGAATTCCAATGCCTTTTATATGTATATTACGACCAAGATGGTGGCTAGGGAAAGGGTAGGTCCACCCAAAGATAAAGGAAGGAATATATGCATGGAGCCAGAGGAAGTGATGGTGTTCTTACTGAGTACTTTGTATCGGCGTTCACCAAGGAGAAGGACATGATGTTAAGATTAAGGAGAGGTATCTTGGTATTCTAGGGCATTGTTTAAGAAGGCCAGGCCAATGAACCTTACATCAGTGATTGGGAAATTATTGGATAAGATTGTTACGGACAGGATTTACTTGAATTTGGAAGAGAATGGATTAATTAGAGGTAATCAACTTGGCTATGTGCAGGGATTTTTTTGAGGAAGTGACAAAGGTGATTGATGAGAGTAGGTAAGTGATGTTGTCTGCATGGACTTTACTGAAACATTTGACAAGCTCCCTCATGATAGGCTGGTCCAGAAGATTAAATCAATTGGGGTCCATGGTAAGTTGAATGTGAAATTACTTTGATCACAGACGACAGTGGATAATCATGAAGGGATATTTTTCTGACTGGAGATCTGTGACCAGTGGTGTTCCACAGAGATCACTGTTGGGATCTCTGTTGTTTGTAATATATATATGAATGATTTGGATGAAAGTAGGTGGATGATGCAGGAGATCTAATTAGTAAGTTTGCAGATGGCATGAAAATTGGTGGAGTTGTGGAAAGTGAGGAAGTTGTCAAAGGATAAGCAGGATATAAATCAGTTGGAAAGTTGGCAGAGAAATGGCAGAGATGAGGTGATGCATTTTGGGAAGTCAAATGCAAGAGGAAAGTATGCAGTAACAGGCAGTACCATTAGGTGCATTTACTATACAGAGGGATCTTGGGGTGCAAGCTCATTGTTCCCTGCAATGGGCAACACAAGTGGATAAGGTGGTGACAAAGGCACACAGCATTCTTCCCTTCATGTGTCGGGGAATTGATTATAAAAGTTGGTAAATCATGTTGCAGCTGTATAAACTTTAGTTAGGCCACATTTAAAATACTGTATGTAGTTCTGGTCACCACATGATGGGAAGGATGTAGAAGCTTTGGAGAGGGTGCAAAAGAGGTTTACCAGGATGTTACCTGGATTGGAGTGTATTAGCTATAAGGAGAGATTGGACATACTGTACTTAGATTGCTTTCGCTAGAGTGTTGGAGGTTGAGGGGCAACTTGATAGAAGTATATAAAATTATGAGAGTAATGGGTAGGCTGGATAGCCAGAACCTTTTTCCCAGGGTGGAAATGTCAAATACTAAGGAACATAGGTTTAAAATGAGAAGAGAAAAGTTTAAAGTAAATGGGAAAGGCAAGTTTCTTTTTTAACACAGAGGATGGTAGTTATCTGGAATGCATTTCCAAGGGAGCTGGTAGAGCAGATATGATAGCAACGTTTAAGAGACATTTAGACAGACACATAAACAGGCAGCGAACTGAGGGTTAGGGCTAGGGTTTGGGTTAGTGTTAGGGGTTAGGGTTAGACAGATGTGATTTATTTCCAATGGCACCATGGTTGGTTCAGACTTGGTGAGCTGAAAGGCCTGATCCTGTGCTGTACTGTTCTATGTTCTAAGTTCTGAATATGTTTTGGTGCCATTGTGCAGAGCTCCTAAGGCATTACTTTCATTAAAGGCTGAACATTGTATTCATCATCTTGATTTTGTTCTTCCAGGTCAACTGAGAACCAAGTGACAATGCACAAGTGTTATTTCTTCCTGGTCTTTATGGTGATCATTCTGCCATCGTTGGGCCTGACCAGGTACTGACTCCATGATCAGATCCTAGCTGTCTACAAAGAGCAAATCACCCACAGTCACTGGGGGCAGAGACCCATCTACCCCTCCCCTCAGCTTCCTCACTCACTGAGGGCAGTGACATCCCTTACTCACTCAGGGCAGTGACCTCCCCCCCACCCCCGTCTCTTGCTCCCCTCCCTTGCTCACTGAGGGCAGTAACCGCCCCCCTCCATCTCACTCACTGAGGGCAGTGATCCCCGTCCCCTCACTCACTGAGGACAGTAAGCTCCCCACCAACGTCTCACTCAGTGAGGGCGGTGACCACCTCCCCTTGCTCACTGATGGCAGTAATACCTCACCCCCCACCCCACCGTCTCACTCACTGAAGGCAGTGACCCCCCTCCCCCTCACTCACCGAGGGCAGTGCGCGCCTCGCTCATGGTGGTTAGTAACAGCCCACCGTGCCTCCCATCCCCCACCTCGCTTATTTGCTGATATTAGGGATTCCTTCCACCACCCATGCATTCCTTTCATATTTTATGATCTTGTGTCTTTCAGTCTCGATGTCTTTTTTCGATGGCTTTTCGACATACACTTTCTAGATGAAGCAGATATTAAATTCCAGTGAGTATTTCTGATCTAAACTGGATTGCTATTTTATGGAGTTTGGAAGATTGAGAGGCAATTTCCTTGAAACTTACAACTTTTATGAAGGGGCTTGACAAGATAAATGCTGAGAAATTGTTTCCCCTGGCTGGTGAACGTAGAGCACAGGAGCACAGTTTCAGTATAAGAGCTCAATCATTTGGGACACAAATCATTGTGAATCTTTGGAATTCTGCACTCCAAGGAATTGTGAATGCACCATCATTTTTACAGCTAGGATAGAACATAGAACAGTATAGCACAGTACAGGCCCTTGGCCCACGATGTAGTGCCGAACTTTTACCCTAATCCTAAGGTCTGTCTAACCTCCACCCCTATCTTATACTATCATCCATGTGCCTATCTAATAGCCGCTTAAATGCCCGACTCCACTACCGTCTCTGGCATTCCACACCCCTACCACTCTCTGAGTAAAGGACCTACCTCTGACGTCTCCTCTATATCTACCTCCACTCACTTTAAAACTATGCCCCCTCATAATAGCTACCTCCACCCGAGGAAAAAGTCTCTGGCTGTTCACTCTATCTATACCTCTGATCATTTTGTACACCTCTATCAAGTCACCTCTCATCCTTCGTCGTTCTAAAGAGAAAAGCCCTAGTTCTCTCAACCTTTCCTCGTAAGACCTTGCCTCCATTCCAAGCAACATCGTGGTAAATCTCCTCTGCACCTTTTCCAACGCTTCCACATCTTTCCTGTAATGAGGCAACCTGAACTGAACACAATACTCCAGATGTAACCAAAGCAGGGTTTTTTATAGCTGGAGCATAACTTCACGGCTCTTGAACTCACTCCCTCTATTAATGAAAGCTAACACACCATACGCCTTCTTAACAACTCTATCCACCTGGGTGGCAGCTTTCAGGGAACTATGGACATGACCCCCAAGATCCCTCTGCTTCTCCACACTGCCAAGAATCTTTCCGTTAACCCGATATTCTGCTTTCAAGTTTTCCTTCCAAAGTGAATCACCTCACACTTATCAGGGTTAAACTCCATCTGCCACTTCTCAGCCCAGCTCTGCATCCTATCAATGTCCCTTTGTAACCTAGAACAGCCCTCCACACTATCCACAACACGACCCACCTTCGTATCGTCCGCGAACTTACTAATCCACCCTTCATCCAAATCAGTTACAAAAATCACAAATAGAAGAGGACCCAGAACAGATCCTTGTGGTACACCACTCGTAACTAAGCACCATGTTGAATATTTTCCTTCCACTACCACCCTTTGTCTTCTAAGGGTCAGCCAATTCTGAATCCAATCTGCCACATTTCCCCCTATCCCATGCCTCCTTACCTTCTGCATGAGCCTACCATGGGGAACCTTATCAAATGCCTTACTTAAATCTATGTATACCACATCCACTGCACCTTCATCTACGTGTTTGGTCACCTCTTCAAAGAATTCAATAAGGCTTGTGAGGCATGATCTACCCTTCACAAATCCATGCTGACTATCACGAATCAAGCTGTGCCTTTCCAAGCGATCATAAATCCTATCTCTGAGTCCTTTCCAATAATTATCCACCACTGATGTAAGACTAACTGGTCTGTAATTTTCGGGGTTATACTTATTCCATTTTTTGAACAAGGGAATGACGTTTTCCCCTCTCCAATTTTCCGACACTATACCTGTGGACAGTGAGGACAAAAAGATCATCGCCAAAGGCACTGCGATCTCTTCCCTCGCTTCCCATAGAATCCTTGGATAAATCCCATCAGGCCCGGGGGACTTATCTATCTTCAACTTCCTTAAAATACCTAGCACATCTTCCTTACAAACAGCAACCTCTAGCCTACCAGCCTGTTTCACACTGTCCTCCTCTACAACTAGGTTCCTCTCAGTTGTGAATACTGAAGAAAAGTATTCATTAAGGACCTCTCCCATCTCTTTAGGCTCTGTGCACAAATTCCCTTTACTATCCTTGATCGGCCCTACCCTTTCTCTGGTCATTCTCTTTTCCTCACGTACGTGTAAAAAGCCTTGGAGTTTTCCTTGATCCTATCGGCCAAGGTTTTCTCATGCCCCCTTATAGCTCTCCTAAGCCCTTTCTTCAGCTCCTTCCTGAATAACTTGTATCCCTCTGGAGCCTTTTCTGTTCCTTGTTTCCTAAACCTTACATAAGCATCCAAATTCCTCTTAACCAGTTGTTTGACCTCTCTCAAGAACCATAGCTCCCTCACTTGACCGCATCTTCCCTGCCTGCCAGGGACAAACATATCGAGCACAGGCAGTATGCATTCCTTAAACAATCTCCACATTTCTATAGTGCTCTTCCCTGACAGCATCTGTTCCCATTTTACGTTACCCAGTTCTTGCCTAACAGAATTGTAATTACCCTTGCCCCAATTATAAACCTTACCCTGCTGTATGTATTCCATGACTATAGTAAAAGTAACAGAGTTATGATCGCTACTGCCAAAATGCTCTCCTACCAACAGGTCTAACACTTGGCCCGGTTCATTGCCAAGCACCAAATCCAAATTGGCGTCTCCTTCTCCGCCTGCTCCTGCCCCACCGAACTGATCTCCAACTATCTCGACTCCATTTTCTCCCCCTTGGTCCAGGAACTCCCTACCTATGTCCGTGACACCACCCACGCCCTCCACCTCCTCCAGAACTTCCAATTCCCCGGTCCCCAACACCTCATCTTTACCATGGACGTCCAGTCCCTCTACACCTGCATTCCCCATGCAGATGGCCTTAAGGCCCTCCGCTTCTTCCTGTCCCGCAGGCCCGACCAGTCCCCCTCCACTGACACCCTCATCCGCTTAGCCGAACTCGTCCTCACACTCAACAACTTCTCTTTCAATTCCTCCCACTTCCTACAGACAAAGGGGGTAGCCATGGGTACCCGCATGGGCCCAAGCTACGCCTGCCTCTTTGTAGGTTACGTGGAACAATCCCTCTTCCGTACCTACACCGGCCCTAAACCCCACCTCTTCCTCCATTACATTGATGACTGTATCGGCGCCGCCTCGTGCTCCCACGAGGAGCTCGAACAGTTCATACACTTCACTAACACCTTCCACCCCAACCTTAAATTTACCTGGACCATCTCTAACACCTCTCTCCCCTTCCTGGACCTCTCTGTCTCCATATCGGGCAACCACCTCGAAACCGATATTCATTTCAAGCCCACCGACTCCCACAGCTACCTAGAATACTCCTCCTCCCACCCACCTTCCTGCAAAAATGCTATCCCCTATTCCCAATTCCTTTGCCTCCGCCGCATCTGCTCCCAGGATGAGGCATTCCACTCCCGTACATCTCAGTTGTCCTCGTTTTTCAAGGACCGTAACTTCCCCTCCTCGGTGGTCGAGAACGCCCTCAACCGTGTCTCCCACATCTCCCGCACCTCATCCCTCACACCCCGTCCACGCAATAAAAACCAAAAAAGAATCCCCCTCGTCCTCACGTACCACCCCACCAACCTCCGGATCCAACGCATCATCCTCCGACACTTCCGCCATCTGCAATCCGACCCCACCACCAAAGACATCTTTCCCTCCCCACCTTTATCTGCTTTCCGGAGGGACAACTCTCTCCGTGACTCCCTTGTCCGCTCCACACTCCCCTCCAGCTCCACCACACCCGGCACTTTTCCCTGCAACCGCAGGAAGTGCTACACCTGCCCCCATACCTCCTCCCTCACCCCCATCCCAGGCCCCAAGAAGACTTTCCACATCAAGCAGATGTTCACCTGCACATCTGCCAATGTGGTATACTGCATCCGCTGTACCCGGTGTGGCTTCCTCTACATCGGGGGAACCATAGGAGACTCGGGGACCGCTTTGCAGAACACTTACGCTCGGTTCGCAATAAACAACTGCACCTCCCAGTCGCGAACCATTTCAACTCCCCCCTCCCATTCCTCAGACGACATGTCCATCCTGGGCCTCCTGCAGTGCCACAACGATGCCACCCGAAGGTTGCAGGAACAGCAACTCATATTCCGCTTGGGAACCCTGCAGCCCAATGGTATCAATGTGGATTTCACAAGTTTCAAAATCTCCCCTCCCCCCACCGCATCCCAAAACCAGTCCAACTCGTCCCTGCCTCCCTAACCTGTTCTTCCTCCCACCTATCCCCTCCTCCCACCCCAAGCCGCACCTCCATCTCCTACCGACCAACCTCATCCCGCCCCCTTGACCTGTCCGTCCTCCCTGGACTGACCTATCCCCTTCCTAACTCCCTACCTACACTCACCTTTCCTGGCCCCATCCCTGCCTCTTCGACCTGTTTGTTTCCTCTCCACCTATCCTCTCCTCTATCCCTCTTCTATCCGCCTCCCACTCTCTCCCTATTTCTTTCAAAACCCCCTTCCCCTCCCCCTTTTCTGATGAAGGGTCTAGGCCCGAAACGTCAGCCTCTCTGCTCCTATGATGCTGCTTGGCCTGCTGTGTTCATCCAGCCCTGCACCTTGGCGTCTCCTTGTGTTGGCCTATCTACATACTGTGACAGGAATCCTTCCTGAACGCACTGGACAAAATCCTCTCCATCTAAACTATTACAACTACAATGTTTCCAATCAATATTTGGAAAGTTGAAGTCACCGCTGACTACAACCCTGAGACTTCTGCACCTTTTCAGTATCTGCCTCCCTATCCGCTCCTCCACTTCTCTGCAACTATTAGGGGGTCTGTAAAAAAAATCCCCAACAAAGTGACTGCTCCTTTTTTGTTCCTGACCTCAACCCAAACTGACTGTGGACATATCATTCTCAAACTGCCTTTCAGTAGCTGCTATACTAGCCCTGACCAGCAATGCCACTCCCCCGCCTCTTTTACTACCCTCCCTATTTCTTTTAAAGCACCTACACCCTGGAGCTTCCAACAACCATTCCTGTTCCTGATTTACCCAAGTTTCTGTAGTGGCCACAACATCGTAGTTCCAAGTACTGACCCATGCTCTAAGTTCATCTGCCTTATTTCTGATACTTCTAGCATTGAAGTATACACA